AAATAAAATTTATTATAATATTATATATATTTATAAAATTAATTTAAAAAAAAAATTTTTTAAAAATTTTAATTTTTTATAAAAGTAAATCAGAAGAAAATTTATAGTAAATAAGCAGACAAATTTACTTGTGAACCTTTACAGTTTAAGGGATAAAATATTTTTAAAATATAAAATTAAGATTTAATATAAATAATTTAAAATATAATATAAAATATTTTAAATACTTAAGATATAATAAATATAATAATTATACATAAATAATTATTTTAATTAATAAAATATAATATAAAATAAAATAAAATTAAAATTAAAGTAAATTCTTTTTAAAATAACTAAAATTAAATAAATTAATTTTAATTTACATATATAATTAAAATTATTAAGTTAAATTAAAATTATTTTAATAATCATTTTATAATATAATAATAATAATAAACTTTATTATTTTAAATATTAAAGTTATTAAAAAATAAAGATTGTTAATATTAAAAAATTAATAATATATTGCAAAATAACTTTTATTAATTAAAAAATTTATATAAATAAATAAAAATTATTATTTTTTTTATTAAAATAATTAAAATCTATAATTAATTATAAATAAACCTGTATTTTGATTATTATTATAAAGTTGACCAATAGTATTTCAGAAGACTTTGATAGCCAATAAGATTTTAAGTAACTGATCATCAGCAACAAGTCCTAAATTTAGAAATTTTTCATGTTTATATGATTTAATTTAGTCATAATAACTTACAGTTTACGCTTTATTTACTTTTATTTTTCAAAAATATCTTTACTCAAGAGTGTAAATGGCCGTCTTTAAAAAGTTTATATATGAAGAAGTATATTTTAAGGACGACTATTGCATTAGGTAAGAAATTGTTTTGGTCGAACTAGTCTATTAGACTTGCGTCATTGTTGGTTCACTTAGGTAAAATTGAAAACAGTATGGTAGAGAACCGGAAGCTCTTCGTGGCCTCCTCTCTAGTAGGTAGTCAGTTTAGCATGTTTGTTTTTGGTGAAGGTCTACTAATTCTCAAGAAGGAATTGGTTATGTCTTCCTTTGCAATACAAAAATCGATATGTCTAGCGAGTTACTTCCGAACCAAGTGCGAGAACGTCCTTCTCTATTTGTATTGTCAATGTTTATCTACTTTAATCGGCAGCGTTTAAGGAAATAGTTCTACCTTTGTGGTCAAATGTTTTTCTATTATAATTGCCCATTATTTAGGTGAATAAATGGAGGGAGAACTGGAAGCGCTTCGTGGCCTCTAACGAGAACGTCCTTCTCTTTTTTGTTTATTTATCTATTTAGTGGCTTGCTTGCTTAGATTTATCTAATCCTTTTTTTTTAATTTTAAATTATTAGGTAACGAACGGAAAATTTTTGCAAATGGCGAATAATTTCTTTCTCTTATTTCAATAGTTTTTGAATTAATTATATTTTAAAAAAAAAAATTCTTAATTGATATTACATATATACAATGTTATCTATATTTACAAAATTTTAATTATTTTCATAAATGTAAATTTATTATTTATTCAGTCAGTTCTTTATATAAAAAAAACGAACCCGACCGAAAAATTTACAATAAAGTTTCATTATTAATTTATTTAATCCTTTTTTTTTTTATAAAATAATTGTAATGTCTAAGTTTTACCCGTGTTGCTAAATTAATCGAATATAAAAATAATTCTTTTGAATTAGAAATCATATGGATCAACTTTTCTTCCTGGTATAGTACCACATCCACTACCAATACCCGGTTTACTTTTATCATCCTCCTCCTTCTTCACAGACTTATTCGTTTCAGGACCAACACGTCGTTCATTAATACCACCTTCAGGCGGTAGATGAAAAGTTTCAATAGTAAATTTTTTACGACGTAATTTAAATCCTAGATTATTTCCACTACCACCTGATAATACTGATAATTTTGTAGATGATGGTATGAGCGAATTAAGAGTTGGTAATTTATGAACGTGAAATAATCCATGATATGTGGCACTATAAATTGCATTAGTAGTTGCAGGGGATCCTAGCCGACCGAAATTTCAGATTAATTTTAACAATAAAAAGGGAGGGAGGAGGGAAACGATTACAAAATCATTTGAATATATACCTGCAAATGATTCAACTTCGACAACCGCATCACACATGTGTTCAATTCTTCTAATGAACGAACACGGTTCTGAAAAGGATGATGTATATAGATAAGCCGGAATTGTAATAACAGCTGCACCGAATGAAAATCTTAATAAACCACGTAAAGCGTGCAAGAATGCAAAAATATCCTAAAGAAAAAAAATGAATGAACCTACATTAATGTTATCCAAGAAAAGTTTACACACAAATATAATTAACAACTTACATGTGATGACCTTGATTGCCATGATGGTGAGGCGATTGAATGTATTCCAATCCTAATCGCATTATTTCTTTCAACATTTGAAGGTGGTACTAACAAAGAATTCAAATGATTTTCTTCAATGACGTTGCGTATTCTATCTAAAAGCGTATGATATGAATTCTCACTTAATTCATTTACATTAATTAATGTCATTAATGCATTATCCATAATATTCTGAGGTATTGATTTTGTTAAATCAAAAGTTGAACAAAATGGTTTTTCGATTTGATGAGGGTTTGTTTCATTACTTGAAATTTGTTTATTTAAAAGAAGGGGTTTACTTTTTACGCTTGATTCAAATTTTTTTAATCCTTTATAACGCCATGCAATTGTCATTTTCTCTTCTAATTCGGTGGTCTTGTCATCATCATCAACGACACTATCATCAGTGTCATTTGATAACCAAGGCAATCCCATTATAAAATTTTTTGGTTCTCTCTCTTCTGCCGTACTTAACAAAACATGATGTCCAGATACTATTCCTTGTACTAAAAAGTATTTTAAAAGTAATCGAGCATACTCCGTATGTCGATCCTCTTTTATTAATAATACACTTCCGATTGGTATACCTCCACCAAGAATATGTTTGAAAATAATTTTATAAAAGTCAAGGTATAACTAAATAATTTTTAAGTCGTTCGTTCATCATTGATTGAATTTGATTAAAAGGATATCATCAAGTGATGGTACTCCAGTAGAAATTAATAATTGTCCATTATATGGTGATAAACGTGTTCCTTGTGGAATTTTCGTTTGATTGGTTTGAACTCGTTTTTTGAAAGAACTCATTTTGATTTTATCATGCGGAAAAAAAAAAAAAAAAAAGTTTAAAAGTTATGAACTTTCATTGGTCCTGAAGATAATCAATAAACACGTGATAATGATGGATAAATTTCCAAATTCTCCCAGATTTGAGGATTAAATATTATTACATAATGGCAATGCGGACTGATAGACGCTCTTCCACTACAATTCGTCCCATTTCAATTGATCAAAGTCTCCTTAGTAGAGATGGTTCTGCTAGATTTAATTTCGGTAATTCTCCTTATTTATATCTTTGACATAGCTTTATTACCAA